TAAACGTCTGACTCTTGATTTCGGCTCAGGTCGTGATCTCACAGTTCATGAGTTTGAGCCCCACGTCGGGCTCTGTGCTGACCATGTGGATCCTGCTTCAGGTTCTCTCTCCCTCCCTCTCTGCGTCTCTCTCAAAATAAATAAAATAAACTTGTCTTAAAAAAGAAGCCTTTCTGAGTTATTTAGTGAGATGTCACCTGTAATAACAGCTTCCAGTGAAATTTTCATTTTAGGGCAGATACTCTTCCTGTTAGAGTACTGAGGTCAGGAGTTAGGCTTACAGTCCAAGTGTGCAGACTGGCTAGTGCTTGGGCTTAGCTCTTCTGCTCCGTGGATCCTGAGACCTTTGAAATGGAATTTTAAAGGTAATGCTTTAGGGATCACAAAGGTTGATACTCTGATTTGCCTGTGGTTTTCTTATAAGACACCAAATCGTAAGGCCTCCCAGATCAATTTTATTGCAACATGTGCTTGATTTTTTTCTTTTTCTTTATATAATTTTTTAAAACATTTTATTCATTTTAGAGAGAGAGTAAGCAGGGGAGGGTCAGAGAGAGGGAGACACAGAATCGGAAACAGGCTCCAGGCTCTGAGCTGTCAGCACAGAGCCCGACGTGGGGCCTAAACTCACAAACTGTGAGATCAAGACCTGAGCGGAAGTCAGACGCTCAACCAACTGAGTCACCCAGGTGCCCCTGTGCTTGATTTTTCTAAGAAAAACTAATAAAATGAGCCAGCTTAATTGTGCCTTCTGTTATTAATGGTTGTGATTCAGATGATCATGGGCTCTGAAATGCATGGCTGTTGCTCCGTCAGTTTTCTGAGTGTGGTAACGGATGCACTTTTACTCTGATCCATAAGCTCATGTGTGTAATAATTTGAAATAGGATGATTCTGCAAAGGACTTTGGTGGAAAAACTACAGATTTGTGTCCTATTTTATATTTCATATTATATTGTTCATGTTTTTGTAAATAAATTTTTGTAATTTCTTCTGAAAATATTGAGGCTATCTACCCACCGAGAGAAACAAATTTATTTTTTTCCCGTGACTTCATGCTTGCCTTTGTTATCAGTATTTTCTGTATAATGAATACATTTAATTTGCTATTGATGCATGTTAAAATTTTCTGTTGTTAAAGTCAAATAAGATTTGTGAGCTTTTAAGCATTGCAACACATAATGATTTTATTGCTAAATCTATTTTAAAGTTTTATATAGATGATAAAGTTATTGATAGTAGTCATTGTTAGACACACCCAATTAATAAAGTGGTGTTGATTGGTCAAATTTAGCAGTAAGTGAGTTTTGAAACTTCTAAGAATTTTCTGAACATTTGTGAGTGATAACTGATTTACAAGCTATACAAGTCAACTTGTGAAAAGCATACATGAAGGTTATGTTGATCTTTTTTTTTTTTTAATGTTTTATTTATTTCTAGGAGAGAGAGAGAGAGAGAGACAGCGTGAGCAGGGGAGGGTCAGAGAGATAGGGAGTCACAGACTGAAACAGGCTCCAGGCTCTGAGCTGGCAGTCAGCACAGAGCCCAACGCGGGGCTCGAACCCACGAACCGCGAGATCATGACCTGAGCGAAAGTCGGACGCTTAACCGACTAAGCCACCCAGGCGCCCCGGTTATGTTGATCTTCTTAAGTGTATTTTTTAAGAGTGATGTTAAGAAATTATAAGGGTAAGCATCAAAGGTCATTAATACTGTTTTCCCCAGTTTATTCATTGTTATTTATTTTTGAGAGAGAGACAGAGTGTGAGCAGGGGCGGGGCAGAGAGAGAGGGAGACACAGAATCTGAAGCAGCTCCAGCACAGAGCCTGATACAGGGCTCGAACCCACAAACTGCAGAATCATGACCTGAGCTGAAGTCTGATGCTTAACCGACTGAGCCCCCAGGTGCCCCTACTTCCCCCCATTTTAATGAAACTGCAGTATGTGGGAAAGTTCAGTGTGTTCGATTTCAAATGGCAGCAGTTGTCAGGGAAAGGGAAATAGTGTGTAAAGGGTGTGGTTTTAGCCCCGGGGGTTAACAGAGCGCCGCGCCCCGAAACTTCTCTCCTAGTCTTAGTTTTCACTTTGTGAAGAAAACTTCATTGGCAAGTTGCTTCCGACTGAAATACGTCTTAAAACTTTTGTAATAATGAAGGAAATTTAAACTTCAGTTTTCATCCCGTGTTTTCTCAGAGGTGAAATGTTACGTGTGCGTTTGACACTGCCCTTGCCGGTGGCATCGGCAGGAAAAGTGTGACGTCTGTTCTGTGTCTACAAGCGGAGCGTGACTTTGGGTGGCTGAGTCACCAGGGTTCTCTTCCCTGTGACACCGTCAAGTCACATGCAGAGGAGGTGTCCGAGAATGCCTTCCTGCCCGTGTGTGAGCCGGGCCCCTCACTCTGTTCTCCTCAACAACTTAAATAGTCCCCACACAACTGGCCTGAATTTATGACCTGGGTTGAAAATGTGGCCCTTTACTAATTAACTCATAGGTTTATCTCAGCTAAACAAAACTTAATGGGTAATTTTCAATATATCCCAGTTTACATAAACAGCGTGTTACTTCCTTATCTTTTATTTTTTTATTATTATTTTGGTTAATGTTTATTTTCAAGAGACAGAGTGAGAGTGGGGGAGGAGCAGAGAGAAAGGGAAACACAGAATCTGAGGCAGGACCCAGGCTCCAGGCTGTCAGCACGGAGCCCGACGCGGGGCTCAAACCCACAAGTTGTGAGATCATGACCTGAGCCCAAGTCGGACGCTTAACCGACTGAGCTGCCCAGGCGCCCTCTTCCTTACCTTTTAGCAGTAAAGCCCCAAACTAAGTAACCTTCAGTAGTTAATAACATTTTTTTTTATATAAAATGTTTGTTTATTTTGAGAGAGAGTGAGAGAGTACCAGTTCGGAGAGTGGGGGGTGGGGGGAAGGGGGGAGAGACTGACAGAGAGACAGAGAGACGGAAAGGATCCCAAGCAGGCTTCTCAGTGTCAGTGAGGAGGAGCTCTCACAACCATGAAATCGTGACCTGAGCTGAAATCAAGAGACGCTTAACTGACTGATCCACCCGGGCGCCCTTGTAATTTATACAACTGTTTAATAATTTGTTTTATTTTTGCCTACTGAGTGATTAGGGACTACAGTTGTTTCAAAGTTAAGTCTGAAATGACAACTTTTGAAGTGTGTAGTCATTAAAATGGCGTTTCCGAACAATGTATATATATTTAGGTGGAAAGGCGGTAGTTACAGTGTTAGGGGGCCGCGCTGGAAGACGACACGCACCGGGAGAGCCCGGCCGCTGCCCCCCACGCGTGCGCGCGGGGCCTGGCGCTCCCTCCCGGGCTCCCGCGTCCGCATGTTTCTGGGAAGGCGCGATGAACTGTTGCCCATGCCGTGTGGCTGTTCTGTCTGCTCTTGGGACAGAAGAGCAAAGGAGACCACGGGAGGAAAGTGTATAATTCCAGATTTCTGAGGTGCTAAGTTTCAGTATTAATAGTTAACACAATCTTAGTAATCTTGTTGCTATCAGTAAAATTATACTAGATAACATATTTCTAAAAGAACTCAATTTCTCGATTGAAGAGAAATAAGGCCAGCAAATATTACTGTCCAGAAGTCTTTTATGCCGAAAGTTTGGAGTTTTCCTAGCTTTTTACTCTCTGTGTTTTACATGTGGTGGTTTGGGCGTCCTTCATAGTCTATAAAAGTCCGTAGAGGAAGGAAAGTCAAAATTTAACACTATTTACATGTTAGATGTGTGGTAAGCATTTTAAATAACTCAGAGATGGAGCAGGCACTATTATTTTTTTAAGCTTATTTATTTGTTTTAAGAGGGAGAGAATGAGCCAGAGGGGCAGGGGGAGCGGAGAGAGAGGGCATCCCAAGCAGGCTCCGTGTCGTCAGCACAGAGCCCAACACGGGCCTTGATCTCACAGATCACGAGATCATGACCTGAGCTGAAATCAAGAGTCACTTAACCGACACCGACTGAGCCCCCCAGGCGCCCCTCATCGTTATTGGTCGTTCCTTGTGGGAAGGAGCAGAAGTGGTCTTGGGGGGCCCTGGGGCCGTGGCCACACCACTGAGGAGGCCGAAGGGCCCTCCAGGCTCCGGAGCACCGGTCCTTGCCACGAGCTGGCTTTACAAATTGGGGTCAGATTCTGGCTCAGAGGTGACTCACTGTCAGCGTCAGCACCCACACAACGTGTGTAAGACTGGATGGTCCACAGACACTGGCACGGGGGCTTCTGCTCTCCGTTTGTTCTCATTACAGCATCGTGATGAGCCAGTATATCCTACCACAGGCGTGCGGCGTGCACCCAGAGGGCTTCAGTAAGCCTCTGCCCTCTATCCGCAAAGGTCTGTAATTTTTTTAATCAAATTTATATTATACAGAAGGTTTTTAAAAACCTTTAAAATATACTTTTTATTTTTATTTATTATTTATTTACTTATTTATTTTGAGAGAGAGAGAGAATGTTAGTGTTTTTGTGTGTGTGCAGGGGAGAGGCAGAGAGAGAGGGAGAGCCCCATGCGGACCCCAGTCCCACAAACCATGAGACCATGACTTGAGCCAAAATCCAGTCTGCTGCTTAACTGACTGAGCCACCCAGGCACCCCATTTAAATTTTATTTGACATGTTAACATTTAAAAACACAATTTTTATGTTTGTTTCAAGAACGGTGGCTTAAAGTGAGGTAGTAGTGGTGAAATGTTACGTGTCGGTCAGTAATACGCAGTGCTTGCTCTGCAGCAGCCTGTCTCCTCCTCGTGGGCTGAGCCCAGCCCCGGCCCAGCACTGCGCGCCCGGGGAAGGGCGCACGCGGACCGACGATCACTGCCAGCAAGCCGCCTGGTGTGGGAAGCGTGCCGTCTGCGGGGTTCGGACCGATGCTGCCTGCGTGTACTTTCGTCTTTTGTCTGTGGCTTTCTTCAGTTTTAAGGAAATATATTGAATGAATGTTTGCTTGTGCTGATTTACTCTCCCCCTTGTTTTTTAGGCTTCTCTACAGCTTGGCCTTCAATGCCCGGTTTCTGAGACATCTGTGGTTTCTCCTGTCTTCTATGACAACTCGGATGATCACGGGGTATGTGTTACGTGGACGTGGAAATGAGCGGAACTTAAGCACTGGGGAAGTCGCAACCTAATTAACAATATCGTAAGATCGTATTTTAAAATACTACTCATTTTATGTAAGAAAGATTCTAGATGGTCTCAATTTTATAAAAATAATGCCTCATTTATAGTTGTGTATCTGTATACATTACGTGAATGGCTTTATCTGAGAGTAAATTTGTTTGTTAAGTCCTAGTCTTAGGACTAGGCGTGAGGTTTCTTTGCTCCATATGACTTTCATACATTTTTGGTAGTGAAAACACAGAGCTGAAGCAAGTCTAACACCCTGACAGACACTGAAACATAAAACATCATAGAAGCTGGTTTATGACACCTGTTGACGTAATTTTATTTTTCTTATATGAGTCATCAGGTAGCTCGAACTCTGGAGTCTTTAACACATACATTTTGAGTGGACACGTTCACACAGCCTCCGTGGCGGGCTGCCGTGGCCTCGTACCTCAGTGATGTCCCCTTCGCCAGGAGTCCGTGCCCGCCCACGTCCGCCGCACCAGCAGCGCAGGGCTCCGGCTCCGGCGGCCGAGGCACGTCCTGGCCGCAGCTCAGCTCAGGAGCTGGTCGCCGCCTGCTGGGTGAAGGAGACCCAGCTCGGCTCAGGGCAGGAGTCTGGAAGGGAGTGCCTGCCTTTCTCTCTCTTTGTCCCCACTCCCTCCCTCCCTCCCTCCCTCCCTCCCTCCCTCCCTTCCTCCCTCCCTCCCTTCCTCCTTCCTTCCTTAACAGGAAGTTGAAAGTGTTTTTGGTGAGGGCGGATGGGGTGTCCAAAATGTAAACACGCCCTGTCTGGTCTGTGACGTGTCAGATGGTGGCACAGAGAAAGGACCGCGTCTGCCCCTGTGTGTCCCGGTCATCTCCTGGGCAGCAGGGTCAGGATTCAAGGCGTTGGTACAAAGTGTCTTCTAACAAAAAGGGGTGTCGGTTTGCTAGTAGCTTGACTTTGAGAGACATACTTGGGTCTCTTCATTTAGTGTTAAGAGTCTTGAGTGACACAGGGGGCTCACCATGCCACCACAGCAGCTGACAGCCCCCCAGAGCGTGAGATGAGCAGGGAAAAGCGGCCGAGATTGGAGAGAACCTTGAATGCCTTCATGTCTAGAGAAATTCTTTTATATCCTTTCATTCTCAAATAAAAACGTAGGGTTTTCACGTATGTCTTATTTGGTTTCTTGGTGCCTTTCAGCCACTTACGGCCATGCCAGCCTTGGCACGGGACAGGTTCGTGTAGCACAAAAGATCAGGGATCCTTGGGGCCAGAAACCATCACTGGGCTGTGAGTGTCTCAGCCTAGCAGCTGGTCCCTGCCCCTGCACCCCCGACGTCCTGGGGCGCATGGTGTCGGCCTTGTAAGGAGACAGGGTCATGGTGTGTGAAGAAAAATGATATTATTTTACAGCAAACTACTGATATTACTTCATAAGTTGGTAAATTACACAAAATTTGTAAAACTCATTTCTTAAAAGCCAGTTGGAGAATTTGGGTTTCATTTTCTTTATTTAATTAAAATAAAGTCCCTCAGGAAACTTTTGATGGGATATGCATTAGGATTGCGTTAATACTCTGTAAGTTTCTTGACTTTACTGTTTACCAAATTCTACTGTTGGAGTAGAATTGAAAATTTGGCTGCCCGATTTCCCTGAAGCTGGCATCGACTCAGTTCGGAAATAGTTTCATGACGAGACTTCCACCGGGACCTCTGAGTCCTAGTGAGCGTCACGTGCATGACGGCATGGCATGTGAAGGCGTGCATCGCTACGCGGGCCCCAAGCCTTGCTGCCCGGGCTGGGAGCCCCGGGGTCTGTGACCTCGCAGCACCCGGGTGACTGAGGGACCGCCGCACATGCGGGATTGCCCAGGCGCGTGGCTTGTCTCTGCGGTGAGACATCCCTTTACTGTTGCGGGAGGGCTGTGCCGGGTCTCGGTGTGTGCGGCCGCCACCCTGACCCCGAGGCTGGCGCGGTGCCTCTGACTCTAACTCTGTGAGGACTGTTCTGATGATGAATTCTTGTCACGCCGACACCAGTAGTAAGTAGAACTGACAGTAGTCTATGCAGTACTCCTAAAACTTGTTTTAGGTCAGGGGCACCTGGTGCCTCAGTTGATTAGGCGTCTGACTCGATTTCGGCTCAGGTCATGATCTTCTAGTTCATGGGATCGAGCCCCGTGTCAGGCTCTGTGCTGACGGCACGAAGCCCACTTGGGATTCTTTCTCCCTCTGCTTTTCTGACCCTCCCCGGTTCGTGTGTTCTGTCTCTGTCTCTGTCTCTCTGTCTCTCTCTCTCTCTCTCTCCCTCCCTCCCTCCCTCTTAAAAAACCAACCGCATTTTAGGCAGGAAAGCATTTGGTAGAAACTTCTGTGGCAGAGAAACCGTGATGCAAGGCATGGCGGTGGTTACAGCCCCAGGGTGGGAGCCCTCTTCCAGGGGCCGTTTCCGGAGGGGACGCATCATCTGTGGGCCCCGCGATGCCCATGTACCAGCCAGCTCTCCGAGTTCGGAACCAGTGTCTTTTCCATTACAGTAAATTATGGACTGTTTTATTTGCATGTAAGTCTCTACGATTGACCTGTTTTCAGAGGAATCCTTGAGTCAGTGTTTATGGCCTAAAGAGTGGTCAGCAGAGAATCAAGAAACACATGCTTCATTACATGCCTGCTGGAGGGGACCAGAGGCACACATCTGATCCTTCTTACCAATCGCAGTTTCTCTCATTAAAATTAAGATGATTAATCCCCTTTGCTTACCATATGGGAGTTAAGGAGAAAAAAGAAGCCATCCTCCTCTTTCAGGGAATGAGTGTGAGAATTGGATGTGCATCGTCACATACATGTGTGACCAGTGGTGACGATTAAGGGCAGGGACTGCTCACAGGCAGCTGGAAGCTGGCCTCTCCCTTTTCTAAGTTCAGGAGATACCTTCTGCATCTTACAGCCTGGGACCCGACCCGTCCGTGCCCCCTAAATGGCGTCTGTCCATCACTGTCATCTGTTACCTGTGCAGGCTGCACGGGAACCAAGAGATACACTCCGCCTTCATGAACGTCCACGAGACATGTGACACCTCGCTTTCCCCTGCTGTGCGTCAGCTCAGTTTGACCCTGTGAACGGCCCAGGACCGGGGTTGGGGGCGGGGGGGAGGGCTCCTGCCCTCGCTGGACCCCCAGTTCAAAGAGAGCCCCCACGCCTGCTTCACCCTAACATAAAGAGCCTTTTTCTGTCACCCTGGCTCTGGCCATGAGCTAGGACGGTTGTACCGCGTCCCTGTGGTCCGTCCTCACTGCGTCCGTACTCTGGACGGAGCGCTTGCAGCCATCGCCCCGCTGAGCGAGTGCTGAGGATGGAGTGCTGTGCGCGCTGCAGGATGCTGCATCCAGGGTGCGCTGCTTCCCCCGAGAGCCAAGTGCACGCTGCGCCACTGGGGCCTGTTCTCACAGCCTGCTGGTGGCAGTGCTGTCCCCTGATGTGGGCCCTGGATGCCCTAAAGCTCCAGGTGGCTCGGGCCGGCTCCCCAGGGCCCCGCCAGGAATGACAGCACACTTGCCTGGCCTTCCCTCTGCTCCGTGCTCTCACGTAACTCGGCAGTGGTGGGCAATTGGTTGGTGACATGTGGCTCTGTATTCCTGGTCACAGCTCACCTGATACACACCTGTGGTTTTGTGGAAATAGGTGTCCAGGTAGAGACATACACAAGTGGAGACGAGGGTGATCAGCCGCGACACCTGCCCGCACAGGGCTGAGGGGACTGTGGGCCTTCAGAGACGGGGAAGCGCTCACGCGTGAGCCTCCGTTCCCGGGTGCTCAGCAGGACAAGGAGCCACGTTTAACCAAGAGAGGAAGGGAACAGACTCCAGGGGGCGGGAGTTGAGTAGCTCTCAGCTCCTGACAGGGGAGACTGAGCCCCACTGCAGGTCAGGACCCCTGGGACGAGCAGGGGCGCTCACGGGAGCTGGCGAGGAAACTTGCAGAATAGAAACAGGGCCCGGCATAGAGGAGAGGAAACTTTATTCCTGAAGGTTCTAGTCAGGGTTCAATACTTGGCCCTTTTGAATGTTCCTAAGTGTAAGTTGCTGGATACATTTTTCCTAGACCAGCACGACACTTTGTTAAATACGTAAGGCGGGGGGACGGCTTCCAACATAAAGCGTGTGTCTTGAACAGTGGCGTTCCTTACTGTGACCCTCTCTCTGGGGACCGCCGGCCGTCGCTGTGGCTGCATCCGCCCAGTTGGTCACGGTAGCGGGAACGCCAGTAAAGAGTGGTGACTTGTGTCCTTTTTAATTTGAGTTATTTACGAACCCATATTGTTACACTTGCCTTCCCTTGAAGTAATTCGTTGCTAACGCGAATGTTATTTTCCCCGGTTGTGCTGGTCTGGGGCCCTGACTCCTTCCCCGGTGACGACCGACCACGAAACCGCCGCTGTCTGTCGCGCCCCTTCCAGGTCTGCGGTGCCGCTGCTGCAGGTGCTGTCCCGGGGCTCCCCGATGGCTCCGGAGGACTCCAGTCGCATCATCCCTCTCTTCTACCTGTTCAGCTCTTTGTTCAGCCACTCACTGATTTCCATACATGACAGTGAGTTCTTTGGGGACCCCATAGAAGGTGAGAGTTTTGAGGAACCCGGGCTTTGTTGGCTTCACGGCCTGTCCGTTTGCATAGATGGTAGAAAAGTTTTAAGCCTCTTAAGCCTTTCGCTGTGTTGAGAAATGAGAAAAAAACAAGGATGATAGGCTATCGGACTGTGTTTTTCAGTCGTAGGTCAGAGACAGTCGTCAATGATGCCTTTCAACCTGGAAGAGCTCGTAATGCTCTCTCGCTGCCTTCGGGACGCCTGCCTTGGGATCATCAAGTTGGCTTATCCGGAAACCAAGCCAGAAGTTCGGGAAGAGTACATCACAGCGTTCCAAAGCATCGGAGTCACAGCTAACTCGGAAATGCAGCAGTGCATACAGATGGAGCAGAAACGATGGATCCAGTTATTTAAGGTATAGACTCTGCGGGGGGGTGTGTGTGTGTGTGTGTGTATGTGTGTGTAGGAGGTCATACAATGTACAAATGTGCCCTGACTTGACTCATTTCATGGGAACAGAAGTATAGGTTGGCATCCGGCATCGTTCTTAATTTGCAAAACTTTCTTAAATGAAGAAATTCATTTTCATTTTACTTTTGCCTTCTTTTAAAACCTTGTTTTTACATCGTCACATGCATATTTTAGAAATTGCTCTGAGTACTTTTAGCGACAGGATGAGGTACGAAGAAATTTTTGAAATATTTTCATTTTTGTTTTTCACTAAAAGATCTCTTGCAGATTTCATCTTTTTAATCTCTTGAGAAATTAAGAAAGGCGGGGTAAGGTCATGGATGTAATGCGAGTTGCGTATAAATCATCTGAAGAGACCTTCCCTTCCCCCTGTGGCGGGAGCGGTGCTGGGCCCCTGTGGCGGGAGCGCTGGGGGTCACCCCCACGGCCGGCCCTGAGGGGAGAAAAAAAAAAGATAAAGTGTGCTTGACTTGCCATGAAATTTCTGCAGCAAACACATCCAGTCAGCTAAAATCGCTCGTTAAGGGAGTGGGGGCAGAGGGAGTGCATTTTCCAAATTGAATGCTGGATTTACAGTCCGTTTAATACCCGCGCCCCCTCGCACACTAATGTGCGGCTCAAGTCATCGGCTGCCCCTCCGGGTCTTCTATCACTGCTGTTGTCAAGCTATCTATTTAATTGAAAGAAGTTAATTGAATGAAAATGATCAACTAAGCTTGTATTAATATTGCTAATGGAACTTTCTTCTTGGCCATGTTTGGAGAAAGATGTCAAGCTAGACTTTAGGAAAGGCCCATTAATGCTTGCACTTAACCTGATGGGCTAATTAAGGACTGCTTATTCATCCAACGAGTGCACGATAGTCTCTTTCCAGCCCGTTTCCAGACCATTCCGCCGGGTTTTACAACACATTTCACTTAGGAGCGTGAGCATTAGGAGCAGGGAGAGTAACTGATAATGTTTTGATTGCACTGAACATAGTACTAATGCATCATTGAATTTATAATTTGTGCAGATTGATGTAATATATGTTTGCACAATTTATTTTAATTACCTATCTCTATATTCCCAAGTAAACTTTAAAGGTCATGTGTTGAACCCTTAATATATCCATTCTTAAAGACTGACAATTTTGCAACTTTTCTAAGTTAACTTATAATTCTTATGTAAACTTTTCCTGGATATGTGTATTGTAGTAGCGTATGTGTTTTTCTGTATGTGTTTAATTAAACTCTGGGATCTTTGTTAATAAGTCTTTCCATTACGCAGGGTATCAGGTTTGTGTACAGTATCAGATAATCTCATTATTTTATAGCACCTATTGAGAACTTCATAGTTTTCATACGACAGGCTTATCTTTAGGACTTAGAAATCTCAGAATTTAATAATTCTGTATACGGTATTTCCCCCTGGCCCTATTTTGCTTAAGTAGTAAATGAAAATTCTGTAGTGAATTTTTTCCTATGCCTCAAAATGACTGCCGCTTGATTAAGGATTGAGGTTTTTAGCAACTAGGGTGAAGGCTCACTTTGTGGTATGGGATTATTTTAGGCTTGAAACTGACTTGTTACCAAGACCTGAGTTTAGGACAGAATTGTTTGAAGACAGTGTTGTGAACAGGATTCCTATTCTTTGGGGGAAAAGAAACCTTTTTCATACTATCTGCTCTTGAGCTGAGCCCCCCAAATAATGAAAAATCAAGGCATAGTTTCTGAGTAGAAAGGGTTCTGCTGCTGTTAAGCTTTTCTTTTAAGAAAAAATTATCTTTAGGGGCGCCTGGGTGGCTTAGTCGGTTAAGCATCCGACTTTCGCTTGGGTCATGATCTCACGGTTCGTGGATTCGAGCCCCGCGTCGGGCTCTGTGCTGACTGCCAGCTCAGAGCCTGGAGCCTGTTTCAGTCTGTGACTCCCTCTCTCTCTGACCCTCCCCTGCTCACACTTTCTCTCTCTCCTAGAAGTAAATAAAACATTAAAAAAATAAAAAAATAAAAAAGAAAAAATTATCTTTAATATGAGATAAAAAGAATTCCTTCTCATGGATACTACGTCCCAGACAGTTTCCAAGAGCTCTAAATATATTAATTCATTTAATGCAGTAATTCTGCCAGGAAGATGCTGCTGTTGTCCCCATTTTACAGATGAGGCCGTGTCGCCACCTGTGGTGGAACCAGCATTTGGACTCGGCCATTCCTCCGCCTCCCCCTTGGGAAAGTACAAGAGTAGAATGTGAGCGTTTTTTATGTGTCTTAGTGCCAAATTTGAATTGAAGAATTCAAAGTAGAAGCGATCAGAAAGGTAAAAGCACTTTGCCCGTGATTTCCTGCCTTGCGCTGACTTTGACAGAATTGCAGATGATGAGCCCTGACTCCTCCAGCCCCCAGCCATTTTCATTTTTCAGTCTCCCGATGGTCCTTTCAAACTCATTTCTGTGAGAGGCTCCCTTGGCTGGTCACAGAACATAGAATTTTAAGTGGATAGAGTCATCTTTCTTTGTCACTGTAAGAATTGAGGTCAGTTGGTAGGCCCCGCGTTGACACTGCTAAAACAGTTTATGCATTTATCAAATTTATAAACTCCTCTCGAGGCGTAATTTATAGGTCTAATTACTTGAGCCCCGTGAGGAGCTAGGAAGCCCAGTTGGATATGGCTTTTGTGCGAGCTGTCTGCCTACACAGGAGTCCCCTCTGGGAAGGAGGTGTCTGCGGGAGCCGGGAAGAGGCTTCCGGAGCCTCTCTCGTCTGCACACCTCTGCACGGAGAGAGAGGTCTGCCTAATGAGTGATGTTCACTTTCTTGGTGGCTCTTTTTATTTTTCAGTCTCAAAAAGGATTTTTTAAAAAGTGAATGTTAAAACCATAGTGGCGGTCATCCTGAGGTCACCCTAGCGTGCCTCCGTGAACTGTCAGCGTTAGGCGCACGTACCCCTGTGTTCTTGTGCAGCGTCACGTCCCTTCCCACCTCTGGAGGCTTGTCTCCTTTCTGACTACTGAATAAAATGGTGCTTCGGAAGTAATTTTGTAGTGTCGTTACCATCCTGGAGAACACGATTGTCTTTAAAAATACACCAGTCTCGGGGCGCCTGCATGGCTCAGTCGGTTAAGCGTCCGACTTCGGCTCAGGTAATAATCTCGCGGTTCGTGGGTTCAAGCCCCGCATCGGGCTCTGTGCTGACAGCTCGGAGCCTGGAGCCAGTTTCAGATTCTGTGTCTCCCTCTCTCTCTGCCCTTCCCCAACTCATCCTCTGTCTCTCTCTGTCTCAAAAATAAATAAACTATAAAAAAAATTTTTTTTAAATACACCAGTCTTCACAGGCTTCGTGGAATGTGGTTAACCTCCTGACATCTGGTGGCCCCTGGCAGACGCCTCATGACCTCTGGGCCCAGGCGCCGCCACCACCGGTTATTTGAACACTATTACGGTAAATAATAGAATATGTACAACAGTTGTGTGTATTTCTGAAGGTTTACTTCAGTACTGTGTTAGTTCCTGAGACGTACTTCCTCTAAGGTTTAGATCCAGCACGGAAGGCGTGGTGTGGAGACAAGAGCGAAACATACCAAGCACGTGCGGCTCCGTCACAGCTCTTGCCGCTGAGGTCGGCGGGGCGGGCGGGGCGGGGCTTCTCATCACTCCCGGGCGCGGCGCGCTTGTGTTGTCGCACTTCCTGTTCCTGATCACGCTGGTATCCAAGCATCTCCCGGGGAACAGGTAAAAACAATTGACTGGCTTTACCTGAAATGAATTGAATTAAAACCACTGTCGGTGGTGCCTCTGCCCAGGCATTCATCCACAGGAGATTTCGGGGCTCCTGGGTGGCTCCGTCGGTTAAGCACCCGGCCTGCGATTTCAGCTCGTCGTGACCCCTCAGGTCATGAGCTTGAGCCCTGCCAGCCCACTGACCACAAGGAGCGTGCCTGGGACTCTCTCCCTCGCTCGCTCTCTGCCCTCCTCACCCCCAGGATAAATAAGCTTAAAAAAAAACACCCAGATTTCAGTATGCAGGCAGGGTTAAAAACCATGTGGGGCTCCTGTCTCAGTCGTTTAAGCATCCAGCTTCGGCTCAGGTCATGACCTCACAGCTCGAGCTGCAGCCCCGCGTCGGCTCTGTGCTGACAGCTCGGAGTCTGGAGCTGCTTCCGATTCTGTGTCTCCCTCTCCCTCCCTCCCTCTTTCTCTCTCTCAAGAATAAATATTTAAAAAAAACAAAAAACAAAACCATAGGCCTCACTGTACAAAGAATTCACTTTGGGCAGATAAGTAACCTTTGATCTCAGCAAAAGTGGGCTTACCTATGACTTAGGTCCTGTGTGTTTTGTTGTTGTTGTTTTTTTTTAAGTTTCTCTGCTTTAGAGAGAGCACACATGATTGAGTGAGAGGGGGAGGAACAGAGAGAGAATCCCGAGAAGACTCCATACTGTCAGCGCAGAGCCCGACATGGGCTCCATCCCCCAACCGTGAGATCATGACTGGAGCCAAGATCAAGAGTCAGACGATCAACCCATTGAGACCCTGGGCACCTGGGCGAATTTTAGATTTACACAGGAACTGAGTCGGGGCTCTGGAGTGGCTCAATTGGTTGACTGTCCAACTCTTGATTTCAGCTCAGGTCATGATCCTGCTGCTGTGAGATTGAGCCCCTAGTCGGGCATGGAGCCTGCTTAAAGTTCTCTCTCCCTTGCCTTCTGTCCTTCCCCCACTTACGCACGTGTGCATGCATGCGCTTTCTCTTTAAAAAAATCCAAAATTCTTTTAGTTTTGGTACAGTCATGTTTAGTATGCATGTCTATGCCAGAACATTTAAGAAAATTAACCGAAAGAAAAACTGCCTTCTGATCTCCACCCTGGCTATCTTTTGACCCAGTTCAAAATTAGTACCCCAGTTTTCCTTACCTCTCACAGTCTTTAGTCGATTTATGTAACTTTTTTTTTAACTTTAAATTTTTTTTAATGTTTTTATTTATTTCTGAGAGAGAGAGACAGAATCTGAAACAGACTCCAGGCTCTGAGCTGTCAGCACAGAGCCCGACATGGGGCTCAAACCCACGAACCATGAGATCATGACCTGAGCCAAAGTCAGACGCTTAACCAACTGAGCCACCCAGGTGCCCCGATTTATGTAACTTTTTAATGGTCACCTCCACACTCCTTTCTGATACTAAATATTTGCACAGCAGTTGAGTTTGTGGCCCTGAAAATGCATGCAGAGAGCAGGAATGTGATCAGAGGTGATTTGACATCACAAAAGGACCCTGTTAAAGTTTCATGGTTTCTTAAAATTTGCATTTTTTTTAACTTAGAAGAAAACTAGTTTAAATGGAGGAAAGTGTTTTTAGTTGAATTTAAACTATGGGATTTGACACTTCTAAAGAAGTATTTTGGGAATTGATTCCAGGTTAGTATTGTCAGACTTAGCAAATAAAAATGTCACCCAATTAAATGTTAATTTCAGTGCTCTTTTTAGACAAAAATACATCCTATGCAGTATTTTGGATATACTTACATTTTTTAAAACAATATTTTGTGCATTTTCATACTGAAAAATTATTTGGTATTTATCTGAAATTAAAATTTAACAGGTGTCTTTATTTTTTCAGTGAAATCCTCTCCAAGACTCCTTTTCCAGGTTGGCCTGTGCCAATTCTGACTTGTAAGACCTGCTTTTACACAGTGACTCCTATCTTGAACCCACCCTTGACAAGCCTCGCACTCTCTCTCCCTACCTCTGGCTCTGTTTCTGTCCTTTTTTTTTTGTTGAAAGAGGATCGATGATACCAGGACATTTATAAGTAATATATGATTGCTTCTTTTCTTATACTTAGAATGTGAAAATTAGAAAGGGGCTGTCTGTATTGAAACTTATTTAATTTCACAGTAATTTAAAAGAAAGGAACTTGCAGCATTAATTGCCTCATACATAGCGTAACGTCTGTGACCTGAGAAAACAAGTGTCCTCGTGACCATAGATTGAAAAGAGATGACCCGCAGGAGGCAGTCAGGAGGTTTTCTTCTGGAGTGAGGCGGCCCTCGCCCTGCCCCTCACGGACCCTCCAGCAAGCCTCTTCTCCTCAGTAACGCTGCGTTTCCTCGGCTGTGCACGGGGAAGGCCAGTACATGAAGATGCCAACTTTCAGTGGGATGATACGCATGAGCCAGAAGTAAATGGGTGCAGTTAAATAAACACATGTAACGTGTCAGAAAGCATGTCTTGTTAACAGCTGTGGCGTATTGTGTGCAAATTTCGGCCCAGTATCTGTTCAGTCTGAACTTACTTGAAATACTAATATAGCTGGTTATGAACATGGAAAGATACAAGCTGTGATTTTTTTTTAATTTTGTTTAATGTTTATTTATTTTGAGGAGAGAGAGAGAGTGAGCAGCAGAGAGGAGGCAGAGAGTGAGGGAGACTGAGAATCCCAAACAGGCTCCGTGCCGTCAGCACAGAGCCCGATGCAGGGCTTGAATCCATGAACCATGAGATCATGACCTGAGCCAAAATCAAGAGTCAGACGCTTAACCGACCGAACCCCCCAGGCGGCCGCTGTGTGACATTCTTCACACAAAATGATGTGCTTCTGTCAGTGCTGTCGGAAGAGCATGTGTCTGGGGAGCATGCTCTGCATGCACTGACTGGGGCTTGTCCCAGACAGAGCGCACATGTAGCCCAGTTCCTCGACGTCTGGTCTTTTCGTGATTGTAAAACGTTGCATGTGGCTAACTTAACCCCCGAGCGAGCACAACGGAGCCAAGAGTCGGGGATGACTGACTGCAGGTTCACGCTGACTCACCTAAGCCAATTACTGCTGGTTCAGAAGGGATATAGTTACTATAGTAACTACAGTATGTCTCGTGGTAGGCTTCCGGATGCCACAGGGGAGGTGGAAGAAATTCCGTCAGTCAGAAGGCTGTGCTCTAGGCCCTGAGACATTTATGCTAATATGGTGGTGTCTGCGTGGCCAAACTGCTCACATATTAACGGTTTCCTCCATCCACGGGCATCTCATCCAGGAGGTGTGTCCACATTACAGTGGTCTGAGGGCTCAGCCACGGACCCTTCTCACCTCCTTTTTTTGGCCACACAGAATTTTTGGTATCCTTGGGTGCCAGGATTTGCATGTCATAAGAGAAGCATTGTATTTCTATTGTATATACATGCTGAATTATAAAATGAAAAAAAAATTTTAATGTTTATTTTTCAGACACACACACACACACACACACACACACACACACGAGTTGTGGGGTGGGGGTGGGGGGTAGAGAGAGAGGGAGATACAGAATCTGAAGCAGCTCCAGGCTCTGAGCTGTTAGCACAGAGCCTGACATGGGGCTCGAACCCACGAACCGTGAGATCATGACCTGAGCTGAAGTCGGACCCTTAATCGACTGAGCCACTCAGGTGTCCCTGAATTGTAAATTTTTAAAGGGAAATCTTTAAAGGGAATTAACAATTGAAATTATGCAATCTTGTTTGTCTTGTGGATATATTTGGAAATTTATCATGTTATCCTAATTTTTTTCCTTACCCAAATTATATTTTATCGTAATTCCTTATCCAAATTGTATTTTACTTGATTAGAGGCCATGTGTATAGAGGCCTGGCTGACTTTTTCAGGAAGCATCATTATAGTCTTACTTTCACTGCATACTAGTTGTATGATCAAATCCTGGCTGTGCAGGCTTGAAACTTTGGATTTACAATTTTATGTTGGTTTTATCTTGGTTCATTACAAAGTACATTTGTATTTAATAAAGAATGTCAAGTCTTTTTTTAAATTTTTATTCCACACCCTCCCCTGCCCCATCAGGTCGTTTTTTAAATAGCCTGTGCCGTTAGCTCTCTGTAATCCTGTAGTTTCGAATGTACGGCGAATCATCGGCCCCTAGCCAGTCCCTGAGTGCCCACGAGGTTTGCAGGGGCTCAGCTGGCTTCCTTCAGAGGGCGCCCCCTGCGGGGCCGGAGAGGGGCTGGTGCTCCCAGCACAGGCGGCCCCAACACGCCGAGCGCCAGCCTGGGGCCTTGATGACGGGCATGGGCCCGGCTGTGTGCAGAACCGGGGTGAGAGGCACCCGACTCCAGAGACGCGCACATGGGAGAGACGGAATTGTTGCTGTTTTGACAGATGTCAGAGGTCCACCTAGGACAGGTTTTTCCGCACTCAGTGCCCTTCGCAGAGTGCCTTGTAAGAAAAAATAAAGGCTATCACTGTAGGAAAAAGTTTTACAAAATTGCTATGCTTGAAGATTTCTTACATTTTAGCTCAAATGAGCTAATACATTTCCAAATCTGTGTTTCAGAACTCAATTACCACCTCCTTTGTAGTCAGCCTTTAGCGTGTTCCTGTTAAGCCTTCTCTCTTCACTGGCACTTAACACCACTTTGTGCCTGAAACTCATTCTTGAGGAGCCTGGCTGGCTCAGTCAGTTAAGCATCCAGCTCTTGATTTTGGCTCAGGTCATAATCCCAACGGTTCACGGGATCGAGCCCCGCTCGGCATCTACACTGACAGTGTGGAGCCTGCTTGGGACCCTCTCTCCCTCCCTCTCTCTGCCCCTCCCTTACTCGCTCTTTTTCTCTAAAAAATAAATAAATAAACATTTTTTTTAAACTGTATTATTTAGGGGTGCCTGGGTGGCTCAGCCTGTTAAGTGTCCAACTTCCATTCTGGTCATGATCTTGTGGTTCGTGAGTTCACGCCCCCCGTTGGCCTCTGTGCTGACAGCTCAGAGCCTGGAGCTGCTTCGGATTCTGTGTCTCCCTCTCTCTCTCTGCCCCCGCCGCTCATGCTCTGTCTCTCTCTATCTCAAAAATAACCAAACACTAAAAATAATTTTTTTGATTGTAGTATTTATCTTAAAAAAACACAGAGTCATCTTGGGACCTCAGGATAAGGTGCTCTTCTGTGGCCTGACCTGGCGGCAGCCAAGGGGAGGCCTAGACGGCCCGCGCTGTGGCCTCTCCTGCCCAGGCCACGCTCCCTGGCGAGCGGGGGCAGCAGCCCGCGCTGTGGCCCCTCCTGTGCGGCGGCGGCTCCTGAGCTTGTTCCATGACCCGGCCCTGTTCTCCCTCTGCAGGTCATCACCAACCTCGTGAAGATGCTGAAGTCCAGAGACACGAGAAGAAACTTCTGTCCTCCAAACCACTGGCTGTCGGAACAGGAAGATATTAAAGCAGATAAGGTTTACTGACAGATTTTTTTAATATTTTTCATTACATGTATTTTTTCAGCTTTTGTCTTTCTAGGGAGGATAAATTCTTTTAAATTGGTTCATTTGGTTCATATATTCCTTATTATGGAATGCAGTAGTCACAGTAAACTTTTTTATTATTAATTCTTTGGTCACAGAACATATAGCAGCAGTATCATTGACTTAAACATATACCCTGAGTTCATTATTAATCCTGATTTTCTCCTTTACCCACAAATTATATTGAAGCCTAATGGTTCTTTGTTGCAGTTGCAAAACAGTTTGCTTTAATTGAAAGGTATTAAAATTATTGGTATATACTTAGTACTTAAAGGAAATGGAGCATGTCCTTGATTTTCTAAAGGAACAGAGACAAATTTGAATATTACTAAGATTACTAAGATCTCTGTCTGAAGTAGATTCAGTAGTATAATATGTTTTTAGAAATTTAAATAATGTTAATAAACACCATGAACTGTTTTCATTTTTGTTTGTCAGAAAAAGGTATGATTGTGTTCATTTCTAAATCTCAGGGATGGGTGCAGAGTGGAGGGCATAGAGGAAGCAAGATTATAGAAGCATTAAAGAAAAGAAAACAGAAGAGCGCCTGGGCGGCTCAGTCAGTTAAGCATCTTGATCTCAGCTCAGGTCTTGATCTTAGGGTCATGAGTTCAAGCGTCGCATTGGGCTCCACTTGGGGTGTAGAGCCTACTTAAAAAAAGAAGGAGAAGAAGAAAACAGAGGTGCTTTATTAACAGTTTCAGAAGCATTACTATGTCTGCATGAATCTTGAAGCATGGGGCGCCTGGCTGTGCCCACTGGTCAGGCCGTGAAGCCACGCCCGGCCCGATAGCAGGTGGGACATCTCCAAGGCCCAGGGCGGGGCCTCCGAACATTTACCACCCAAAGGAAACAGCCTTTGGAGCTATGGGGTGTCTTGTCACTGGAGAGTATGGGGACCGCAGGAGGCACCGGCCCTTCGGAGTAGGTGTAGCAGACTAAACGTCAAATATGCTTGAATCTCCGAGTTACGGGCACCTGGCTGGCTTGGTTGGAAAAGCACGGGGCTCTAGATCTCAGGGTCGTGCGTTCAAACCCCACTTTGGGTGTAGACATTACTCAAATAAAACTTTTTAAAAAGTGTTTTAGATGTTGGAAAAAGAAGAACGTGATTGGCCATCTTATCAGCAGAGGACTCACCTTACTATTTCTGGCACTGGTTTAGAAAACAGTAGTCGCGCATGGAGTCTGCCTTTCCCTCACAGACATCCCGTTCCGCGGGCTCGTGGTGGTGACGTGAGACCCTTCTCGGGGTGGGGGTGGCCCACAGTGTGTGGAGAGGCCACTTTGGACCTGGAGTCACACAGTCTGCAGTTGTGACGAGTCGGCAGTGCAGCCGGCACCCTCAGGGTGCAGGCCACGCGGGGACGTGCTGAGACCCGGCTGGAGGCCGCGGCGGACGAGGGTTCGTGCCGGGTGCCCCTCGCCACGCCGCCGCTGCACCCAGAAGGCTCGGCTGTGGGAAACAGCAGCCACAGGCAGTGCCTGGTGGTGTAACTGGTCCCTGTTTCGGCCTCCTCGCCTATCACAGCTGGCATCCAGACCTGCGGCCACCCGCCTGGGAAGCGTCCTGGCCAGAAGCCGACCCTGGACGTGGGGAGGCCTCCTGACGGCGCTGCATGTGTGTGCGGGAAGCGGGCCGAGGCACCGTGGTAGCGCCGAGGGGGCGCAGCGGGCGCGGCCCGGGCGGGGGAGCCCACGGAGCGGCTGGGCTACAGAGTGCACATGACTCTAGCCTACTGGATACTGTTTTTAAGTTACGAGACGCTGAATATTCAGTAATAAGAATCCATTAGTTCTTTTTTTTTTTTTTTTTTTAATTTTTTAAATTTATTTCTAGGAGAGAGAGAGAGAGACAGCGTGAGCAGGGGAGGGTCAGAGAGAGAGGGAGACACAGACTCTGAAACAGGCTCCAGGCTCTGAGCTGGCAGTCAGCACAGAGCCCGATGCGGGGCTCAAACCCACGAACCGCGAGATCATGACCCAAGCGAAAGTCGGACGCTTAACCGACTAAGCCACCCAGGCGCCCCAAGAATCCATTAGTTCTTTAAGTGGATGCCTTTTCGTGTAGAAAGTGATCACATGACAGTTTACTCTGTGCACCTGTTACACGGCGTCGACTAGAACAAGCAGAGAGTCCCCCGGGTGTGTTACACTGTGGAAGTGTGAAGGGGCAGCCAGCTCGGGGGAGAGGGCGGAAGAGGTAGCCTGCAAAGGACATGAGATCAAAGAGCGGGACCGGCTGACATTCAGTACGTGTAAGACATTGATTTAGTTCCCATGTGACACGTTAAGGGCTGTGCCACGGCACAAGGCTGCCCTAAGCAAGGCTTGTTGCTCCCGCAGGTCACCCAGCTCTACGTTCCGGCTTCCAGACACGTGTGGAGGTTCCGGCGAATGGGGAGGATCGGCCCCCTGCAGTCGAGCCTGGACGGTGAGTTCTCTGTGGCCTCGTGTGCTCCTCTTTCAGTTCAGGGGTGCGGGCTACATCCTGTACCGGGAAACTCACTCTTTTCAGTGTGCTGTTCTGCGATTTTTGATAAACACATGCCACCATGATCAACGATATACAAACCATTCATCATTCCAGAAATTACCTCATGTTCCTTTGAACTTAGCCCCCGCCCGGGCCTGGCCTCAGCCCCTGACAACCACTGATTTGTTTTTGTCCTGGTAGCTTTGTCTTCTCCAGAATGTCTTTAAATGGAACCGTATAATGCGTAACCCTGTGAGTCTGGGAGGGAAAAGTCCGGGCAGACCTTGAAGACTTTGTGGGTTCTGCTCTCAACCACTGCAGTAAAGTGAGGTGTATGTTGCAAAACGAGTCAAATGAAGTTTTTGGTTTTGCAGCACATGTAAAGTTTAAGTGTGCAATAGCATCATGTCTAAAGAAACAACATTCATACCTTCACTGAAAAATATTTTTAGGGACGCCTGGGTGGCTCAGTGGGTTGAGCCTCTCACTCTTCATTTTGGCTCGGGTCGTGACCCCAGGGTTGTGGGATTGAGCCCGGCATCGGGCTCCGTGCTGAGTGTGGAGCCTGCTTGGGATCCTCTCCCTGCCCTCCCTCGCTCGCACTCTCTCGCTCTCTATCATATTAAAAAATACACTTTTAGCCAAAGGTGCTATCATCTGAGTTGTTTCAGTGACTGGTAATCATGGATCATGGATCACTGTAACAAACATAATCATGAAAAAGTCGGAAATATGTAAGAATTCCCAAAACGTGACATGAGGGCGCCACATTGCAAGTGCTGCTGCGAATGGTGCGCACAGGCGGCTGGGCGCGGGGTCAGCACAGAACTTCCCTTCGTAACACGGTGCCGGCCAGGTGCCACAGGGTGGGCGCACCCGCACCCCGCACTCAGCAAAGGCTTTACAATGTGTTGCAGTGGGTTTGGAGTCCCCGCCGCTGTCTGTCTCTGAGGAAAGACAACTCGCCATCCTGACAGAATTGCCCTTTGTGGTTCCATTTGAGGAGCGAGTCAAGGTACGCAGTTTGGTTTCTTCACAGGTTGCGCGCGTAGTGGTCCCTCACATCCTTTCCGTGTTGAAGCGACACCGACCAAAAGTCTCCACAGATGCCTGGTGCCGGGCTGATTCTGTGGTTTTTAGTTTTCTCCTCAGATGGTGATGGTTGACAAGGATTTGTAGCAGCATATTCTGGGGGCGCCAGGGGGTCGCACCCAGCTGAGCATCTGACTCTTGATCTCGGCTCAGGTCACCATCTCACGGCAGGTCGGACCCTGTGTTGGGGTGGGGCCCGCGTGGGATTCTTTCTGCCCCTCCCCCACTAGTGGGCACGTGTGCGCTTTCTCAAAATAAATAATAAAAACTTTTTTTAAAAAAAGAGCATAGTCCAGGGGCGCCTGGGTGGCTTAGTCAGTTAAGCGTCCGACTTTCGCTTAGGTCATGATCTCGCGGTTTGTGGGTTCGAGCCCCGCGTCGGGCTCTATGCTGACTGCCAGCTCAGAGCCTGAAGCCTGTTTCAGTCTGTGACTCCCTCTCTCTCTGACCCTCCCCTGCTCACGCTGTCTCTCTCTCTCTCTCTCCTAGAAATAAATAAAACATTAAAAAAATTAAAAAAAAAAAAAGCATAGTCCAACCAAGTACCTCCTTATATAGACTTGAAGGATTTTTCCCTTAGTTGTAAGTCTAGCTCAAAGCCATTACACCAGTCGTGTTACCATGGGAGGAAGAGGTCCTTTGTCTCGTAGATTTCATGTTATTTTAAAAAATGTATATTTTTTGAAAAGATACGCTTCTGTACATTATGTTGAAGTTATTTATCACAAATTCTGTAAAAGAGACTTAGGTAGTTACATTAATTTCTTGCCTGGTCATTTTTGACTAGTGTACAAAACTTTGTTTATCTGTTTTGAGATTTTAAAATGTTTTGTTTGTATTGACAACAATACAACTTAGCAAATTTCTAAAAACTACCAGGCTCTTTTTTTTTTTTTTTTTTTTTAAGTTTATTTACTTAGAGAGAGTGACCTGGGGAGGAAGAGAGAGGGAGAATCCTAAGCAGGCTCCCTCGCTGTCAGCACAGAGCCTGATGCAGGGCTCAAACCCATGAACTGTGAGAATATGATCTGAGCTGAACTCTGCAGTGGACACTTAACTGACTGAGCCGCCCAGGTGCCCCTTCCCGTCTCTGTTAAGTCATGGTTTCAGGAGGGTAATTTTAGTGCCCACTTTTTATAGGATGAGCAAAAGGCTAAATTTCTTTTAAAGCTATTGGTGTTTCTTTATTAAGACACTCACACTCACACACACTCAAACACACACACACTCTTTCACACAGCACGAATGCAACATTGCATAGCTCCTGAGCTCCCTCTACTGGATTTTTAACATCAAAGAAAAATCAGTCGAATTCCTCCAGTACACAGCTTTGCAAAGAAAGCTATTCTTTCTTTTTCTGTTACCTGGGTTTTTCTAAAGGGTTTGGAAACAAAGTACTGAACATATACTACAGCATGAGACCTTAAAACCTGTTGTGAGATGGGGAAGAGGAGCAAGATTACGGGTACACAAAGGTCACACACTTACCGATACGGCTGCAAGTCCATATTTGATACCTTGGCTTTTAAAATTCTTTTCTGAATTTATGGAGACAGAAAACTTGAGATTTATTTAGCAGTTTTTTGTTGCTTAACTTTATAACAGAGTCTTGTTGCAGATAACCTGACAGCTTCCCCTACTCGTTAGATCTTTCAGAGGCTGATTTATGCAGATAAGCAGGAGGTGCAAGGGGACGGCCCATTTCTGGACGGAATTAATGTGACAATAAGAAGGAATTACATCTACGAAGATGCTTACGACAAACTTTCCCCAGAAAATGGTACGTGTGCGTGCGCGGTGGGGGCTGAGGGGCTGTTGTAGAAGCGGGTCCTCGCTGAAACGTTAGTGCCCTTGTCTCGCTCTGCACTGATTTCTGTACACAGGAGGCGTGCTTCAGTGTCGTGCAGAGAGACCGGAAGGGTCTGTGGTGTCGCAGCGCTTCGGGTCGCACGTAGAGGTCAGGGACACATTTGGCTCGTGTGAGCACGTGACAGCCAGCGTTAGGCGTGGTTTACTCATCTGTATGGTCATCATCTTTCCTTCAGAGCATGGGACCCCTGCTGCTGCATTCAGGCAGGGCCGGACCGGTGCAGGCCACAGCGGAAGTTGGCAGCGCCTGGGTCACGGCTGCAGGACACGCGGGCGGTCCAGGGGCAGAACCTTGATTCAAGTAACATTTTTCTTACGGAGCTAATCTTCTTCTGTGGGAATAACGGAGGGCGGCCAGCATCAGTCACCGGTCCCTTCCGCCCCAGGTCCTGTGTGCAAGGGTTCGGTGCTCACATAATGTAGTTTTCTCACCTGCTCTGTGCCAGAGCCCTCTGAAGCCACAGCGCCGCCGCGAGCGCTCCGCTGTCCAGCTTACTGTCGCCCCGCATAGTTTGTTTGTAAGTTTTACATGTGAACGGGACGAAATCCGGTACTCTGACTCAAGCCCAGCACACTTTTGAGAAAACCCGGACCTCCTCCCTCAGGGCTCCTGGGTCCCCATGAGTGCGTGAGAGTCACCGTGCTGTGTCTCCCACCCAGCCCGGCGCTTGCGCCGGCTCCGAGTCTTTATCCTTGTTGGGCTCGAAGCTGCTTCTCAGTAGTTGTGTGTTAGATTTGTGATCGCACCTAGGGAAAATTCGAGACGAAATGATAAATTTGCCAGTGACTGGGATGTGGTGACAGCAGCAATGAGGCGTGGGTGGCGCTGGAGGGTGTCAGGAAGGGCAGGCGGCTCGTCCCACACAGCTGCTCCTGTGCACGCCTGCTCACTCCCTGCACCTGCTGCAGGTGGGGCGCCTCGAGATGCCGCTCGCAGCGGTTCCAAGTCAGCTTTAAAGCCATTTCATGTAGACGATTTGTAAAGACATTACTAGCCAATTAGAACAAACCCCAAATTTCCTAATGAATCCTTAAGCTTAAAGTCATTCAAAAGTTGATCCTACTCAGGGCGCCTGCGTGGCTTTGTCGGCTAAGCGTCCGACTTTTCGCTTGGGTCATGATCTCGCGGTTTGTGGGTTCGAGCCCCGCGTCGGGCTCTGTGCTGACTGCCAGCTCAGAGCCTGGAGCCTGTTTCAGTCTGTCACTCCCTCTCTCTCTGACCCTCCCCTGCTCACACTCTCTCTCTCTCTCCTAGAAATAAATAAAACATTAAAAAAAAAAAAAAAAGTTGATCCCACTGTCTGTCCCTAAGTGTGTTCTGATACTTGTGCTGAGTTCAAGCGATTTGGAAAAACCTTCTCGTAGTACTTTGGTTACAATGCTTTAAATCTCCATGGATGCTCTGAGTCAGGCCTCCTTAATAAGACTTTTCAAACCATGTGTTAAAACTGGTATTTCATCAGCGAGAGGAGTCAAATGTCATCTCCAAATGTTTTGTTTACTTTCCGGGATATTGGTGTGAAGTGCTTTGTTGACTGATCATTTACGTATAATCAGTTAATATGATCACCATGGATCATCTAGTCCTTAAAACAAATCAGTCCTTCCTTCACAGATGCTCAGCGTCTGGCATCTCAGAACAGGTGTCTGAAGTGTGGGCGTCGGCCCGTAGGAGGAGAGCTGGCTGCCCTGGGCTCACGGCTGTGGGCTGTGGCCAGAGCCCTCCCTGCGCGGTGCTGCCCCCAGTGGGGGGTAGGGGGGCCGGAGCAGTGATCACCTCACTCTCAGGGTTGCTGTGGCTCTGGCCGTCATCGCTCTTCTCGGATGAGAGTCTAGTAGGGCCGGCCCTGGACTGTGCTCCCTCCCAGGATCCTTGGTGTGTTAGCTGCTGTGGTTGCATTTGTTTGTTTACTGGGCAGGATTTACTACATTGTTTTCCTGAAGAGGAAATGGTAATAGCATAAAATCAAAGTAACATTTCACTTAGGGTTCTTTTTCCCCACTAAAACCTTAGTATGTAAATAGATGTTTTAAAACTCGTCCATAGAAACAAGTAGTGTCACGATACCTCGAAGGCCGGATTTGATTCTGAAAATATTATTATTATTGTTATCATTACATGTTCTTGTTTACAAAAATGAGCTTCGGGGAACCACAGAAACTCAGTTCTAGCCAAAGTAGAGGGGTGAGTGCTGATTGCCCACTGAGTCTCCAGGCGATAATGACACTCCCCCCCCCCCCCGCCTACCCTGAGACTGTTGAGGGGGGACTGTGGCCAAGTGTCCCCCACCTGCAACATTTGTATGCTGAGAATTGTTACAAAATGTGCTGCTAACTGCTAATGCTTTGAAAAACATTATATATGACAAAGAAATGCTTATAGTTCATCCTTTAAATTGGGTATTAGAAGGAACACGTAAGGTGAGAAATACCCAACTATATTTTTGTGTTGCATGTACAATTATCTGCTTAGATTCCTTTGGGCATTTTACCTGGATCTTGAGACTGAACATACTTTGTAACCCTGTTGATCAAAGTAGATGCAGATAACATACGTGTGGAATCCCATCATCACTGAAAAGCATGTTCTTCCTGTGAGCATAGGTCAGTTTTAAACACAGAAGAGATGGGGCACCCAGCTGGCTTGGCTGGTAGAGCATGCGACTCCTGATCTTGGGGTTGTGAGTTCGAGTCCCACGTTGGGTGGAGAGATTGCTTAAAAATAAAACCTTTAAAAAAAATAAAAATAAAGACAGAAGAGAATATAGTTGAGTATAAAAGCCTGTGCTTTGCAGGCAATAGAGAGATCTTTATGTTGTAGCACCCCCGCCACAGTGTTAGCTGTGTGTCTTTAGATAAATAAGTTGACCTTCCTTGTCCTTGGTTTTCTCACTGCAGAGTAGGGAGAATTCCTAACCCAGAAGGTTGTTAAAGGACTTGAAGTAATGTGTGTAAAATTCTCGCAGGGTGAATCATCATTGATCGTAATCCCTGTACAGAGTACAGGTGAGGCTGGAACCAGGTGGCTTACTCTGCCTCCCTCGCTTGGGGTGGGGTGGGGGCGGGTAAACGTGGGCGTTTCCACGGAGCTCACCTGCAGCGGCTCTGTCGTCGCCTGCAGGATGGGGTGGGCCTGGCCGGTGCCAGCCAGGGAGAGACGGGCTTGCTGCCGCTGCCCACAGTGGGGCTGCGCCCCCGTCCATACGCGAGACCGTACTGGCCCTGTTGGGCCACGTGACTGACCACCGCCGGGTTCGGTGACTTCGGAAGTATCCGCACTTGTCCATCGCGGTGTGGGAGGCTCGGCCAACGACGCGATCTGCTAACCCTTTCCCAGAGTGCTTTCTAGAGGTCCTCTGTCCCTTGGGACATCGGCCTCACGGGAAGCCTGAAAGATGACAGCTGCTCCTGAGAGCCCAGGAGCAAAGCGGCACCGTGTGCTGACCGGGGCCCCGAGCCACCCCGAGCTGTCGGCATCGCCCCGGCCCCGCCCCGCCCGCTCCCGAGTGGGGAGAGGTGAAGGACAGGTCAGCTGCTTTCTCAGACCCGCACCTTGGTCAGGCCTGTCCAGTGAAGACCACCTGGTTCTGGCTTTTGGCAGAATCACTTTTTTTTTTTTTTAATTTTTTTTTTTTTTAATGTTTTATTTCTAGGAGAGAGAGAGAGAGACAGCATGAGCAGGGGAGGGTCAGAGAGAGAGGGAGCCACAGACTCTGAAACAGGCTCCAGGCTCTGAGCTGGCAGTCAGCACAGAGCCCGACGCGGGGCTCGAACCCACGAACCGCAAGATCATGACCTGAGCAAAAGTCGGACGCTCAACCGACTAAGCCACCCAGGCGCCCCTTGGCAGAATCACTTTTATTGGCTGGTATTCGGGGCCTGTGTCCCGAGGCCCGTACCGAAGGCCACGTATCATCGCCAGTGAGTCCAGGGCCCTATCCCTGCTGACAGCAGCACTGTCCTCTTGAGGACCTGTGTGGAAATTTCTCTAAGATAGCACGCATAATTAACCAACTTCACAAACGTTTGTATTTTAATCTTGGCGGCGCACCATCTCCGGAGAGACTGCCGCCCTCTTCAGCCGCGCACTGTAGAGTCTGGGGCTCCGACCCGGGCTCTGGCGGCCCTGCATCACTCACCTTTCTCAAAGGCTCTGCAATGTTCATTGCGCCGATGTCTTTATCCGTTTATGGTTTTTGCCTTTCCTGGTAACAGCTGCTGTTCCCCTGATGTTCTTAGGTGCTTAGTCCCCTCTCTCCTAGTACAAGTCTCCTTGTATTTTAGAGTGTCGTGAGCTTTAGGGTACGTGGGATGACTTTATTTGCTCCTGAACACTCCGTTTCCCCTCACCTCCATTGGCGCCCTTGGGGGAATTACTGGTCAGTCTATTTCATCATCTGTTTTTAATCTCATTGATTGTTTTCAGTCCTGCGTGAAACTATCTCTGATATTCTTGCTCCCCTTCCCAAAACTTCCCGTAGTAATACTAGCTTGTTTAAAATTTTTTCTCCTCGCCCCCATTACCCCTCTGTCGTCACAGAGCCCGATTTGAAAAAGCGGATCCGCGTGCACCTGCTCAACGCGCACGGCCTGGATGAAGCTGGCATCGATGGCGGCGGGGTTTTCAGAGAGTTCCTCAGTGAGCTGCTGAAGTCGGGGTTCAACCCCAATCAGGGGTTCTTTAAGACTACTAACGAGGGCCTTCTGTACCCCAGCCCAGCTGCTCACATGCTCGTGGGAGACTCCTTCGCCCGACATTACTACTTCCTGGGCAGGATGCTCGGAAAGGTACCGTGTTCTCAGACCACGGGAGGTTGAGGTTTTGTGTTTCCGTGTGGACGCTGTCTGTTTCACTGAAGACCTTTATTCAGAATTACTGAGGTAATTTTGCACGGTATTCTTTTATGTAGTAACTGACACTTCATCGTTATATGTCACACACACGGTAGCCACAAGCATACAGTATTTGTAGAGCACGCAGAGCCCGGGGACACAAAACATAACCTGTATGCGGTATTGCTGGCTGTCGGGGTGTGTGCTGGAATTACTAGAATGCTCTCTGTTGCTCTTGTTGCTGGCATTACAAGTGGCTCTTCAGAGGTTCCGTTTAGAGTGTCTGAGGCGGAAGGCCACTGTCACTGGGGATGGGGTAAGTGCTACATAAGTCATTGCAAATTCTAGGAAAATGGGCCATTTCAAGATGACGTGAGGGTCATGCTGTCATGAGCAGCACGTCACACACCCGCCGACTGTCCACACACGGTTTACCCTGTACTGTAAATGACAGGAAACCTTCATTCTGCAGCCTGGTGGGAACTTCTGTTTAATGGTGAAACTTTGACAGCCCCCCGCGCTCCTCCCCCCCCATCTCACGGTTCTGGAGGCTGGAAGGTCGCCATCCGCACGCCACGGGGTCTCCTCGGGTGGGGACTCTCGTCCCAGCTCACGTCGGTGCCTTCTCACCGTGTCCTCACATGCTGGAAGGGGTGAGAGGCTCTCCCCGGTCCCTTTGAGAAGGACGCTCATCGCATCCCTGAGGGCTCCCCACATGACCCCGTCACTGCCCGAGGCCCTGCCTCCTAATGCCACCGCCCTGGGGACACAAGCACTCAGTGTGCCGAAGGTGGGGACAGCGGGCCAGGGGCTTTATTTAAACCAAGGGTGGCTAACTGCTTTCTGCAGAGCAGATCCAGTCCAAAAAAGAGATTGGGTTTTCTTTCTTTTTAATTGAATACTAACATTTTTTAACATTTTTATTTTTATGTTTATTTATGTTTTAGAGAGAGAAAGAGCATGAGCGGGGGGGGAGGGGGGGGCAGAGAGAGAGGGAGACACAGAATCTGAAGCAGCTCCAGGCTCCGAGCTGTCAGCACAGAGCCCGATGTGGGGCTTGAACCCATGAACCGTGAGGTCACGACCTGAGCCGAAGTCAGGCGCCCCAACATTGTCCATTTCTTTTTTTTTTTTTTTTTATGTTTGTTTTTTTTGAGAGAGAGAATGCGAGCTGGGGAGGGGCAGAGAGAGGGAGACACAGATTCCAAAGCAGGCTTCAGGCTCCAGCTGTCAGCACAGAGCCTGATGTGGGGCTCAAACCCATAAAGTGTGAGATCATGACCTGAGCTGATGTCACACGGTTAACCGAGTGAGCCACCCAGGCGCCCCACGTTGTTCATTTGTTAAATTGAGTTGTTTGTCTTATATTATTAAGTCCTTTATATATTCTAGTTCAAGTCCTTATCCGACATGTGATTTGCAAGTATTTTCTCCCATTCTGTGTGTTGTCATTCACTTTCTTGATGGCTTCTAATGCATTTGTTTTTCTTTTGTTGCCTGAGCTTTTGCAGTCTTGTCTAAGAAACTTGTGGTCACACGGTTTAAGCCAGGGTCGCAGAGATTCGTAGCTGCGTGTGTTCTGGAAGTTTTGTCATTTTGGTTCTTACGTGTAGGCCTCTGCTCCGTTATGAGTTAGTTGCTGTAGACGCTGTGAGTTGGGGACAGCCCTTCTTAACCATTTGTTAAGAAGACTGACCGGGTGCCTGTGCCAGGAGTCATTGACCGTGAACAGAAGGGTTTATTTCTGAACTCTCGGTTGCCTCACTGACCTCTCTCTGTGCTGGCATGACACTGTGTTGATTGCCGTACCTTTGCAGTCAGTCTTGTGCGGCATGTGTACTCTGATGACGAGAGGTCACGGCCCTGGGACCCGACCCAGCACAGGGCTGGTGGAAGGACACCAGAAGGTGCTGGTCCCGGAGACACGTGGGCAGAGGACACGCCGTCCTCCGCCACTGGTCCCACACGGGGCGGTGTTGGTCACGCAGCTCTTGGCCTGGGGGCGGCCGTGCTTGACCCCACCGCCACGGCGGTCCACCTCTCGGCTCCCCTTCCGTTTCAGACACCGCCCCCAGACGTTGGCCTGACGTTCAGGTCCTTAGCGTACGTGTCAGATCATCTCACTTCATTTTACCACATACCCTGCCTCCCCCCACGACACAGTGTGCTGGCTTTGGGCTCGTTCTCCCTGAGATCCCCTCCGCTCAGCTCCCTCTGGAGCTTTCATAACTCATTTCCTGAACCTCTTTGAGGTGACACGTAGTCCTTTCTATGGAGGTGAGCCCACGGATCTCCTACAGCTATAATAGTAAAACCAAAATTTAAAATAGTAAACAAGGTGAGCCTTTATATTGCTAGACTAATACCCCGTAATTAAAAAAAAAAAAATTTTTTAATTTTTAAGTAATCTCCACACCCCGTGTGGGGCTTGAGCTCATGACCCCAAGATCGAGAGTCATGTGCTCTACGAACTGAGCCAGCCAGGCCCCCCGAAATAGCCCCTGAGTTAGGTGGTTTTCACACGGTGCAGTGTCAGGCAACAGAGTGGTCTCATTTGCATGAATTAAATCTTTTTTTTTTCTTTTTTTAACGTTTATTTATTTTGAGGGAGAGAGAGACAGAGTGCAAGCAGGGGAGGGTCAGAGAGAGAGGGAGGCACAGAATCCAAAGCAGGCTCCAGGCTCTGAGCTGTCAGTACAGAGCCCAATGCGGGGCTCGAACTCATGAACCATCAGATTGTGACCTGAGTCAAAGTCAGAGGCTTACCTGACTGAGCTACCCAAGTGCCCCTGCATGAATTAAATCTTACTAAAATTTTATATTTTAATTTTTTATTTATTTCTGAGAGAGAGAGACAGCATGAGCAGGGGAGGGTCAGAGAGGGAGACACAGAATCTCAAGACAGGCTCCAGGCTCTGAGCTGTCAGCACAGAGCCCGACGTGGGGCTCAGACCCATGAACCGTGAGATCATGACCTGAGCCGAGTTGGACACTTAACCGACTGAGCCCCCCAGACACCCCAACACTCCTCTGCTTTAATGTGCATCTCTTCACACCAAACTCCAGGGACTTTCACCCAAAAATGGAGTTTATGTGAAGTGTATCTCTTTAAAACATAGTGAGGGTTAGATAAAATCAGTGACAAAACTATAGTTATTTGAGGATGGTAGATAATTTAGTTTCACATATTTGAATTTTTACTTATATAATTTTCTGCATTTTCTGGAAATTCCTAGGGGAATGCTAGTTTCTAATAGATCTGATTATTATCTGATTACAAATGGTTAAACTTTGTACCACCATGTTAAAAATTGTCCAGATATAAGTGAGTGCAATAGTATAGCGCTAATAGTGCGGTATCTGAACATTAAATCCTTAGCAGAAGAAAATTGTATATTGATTGATTATGATATTTATTGGGTCATAATGTATTTAAATTTTCTTTAATGCACATGTTAGTGATTGTTTACCGTGACGAAGTGCAGAGAGGCCTTCAGGAGCAGTCCTGCATGGCAAGAATTACCTCATGTCACTGGTCACTTCTCAATTAAAAGTTCCATTAGCAGATGGTTCCTGCCTCTGGCGTGGGTCGTGATTGCATTTCATCGCCTGTAAATCAGGCTGTGGACAGGGAATAAATAAACAGCTCAAGGATGTGGTAATGTCATCTTGAACTTTTTTTTTTTTACAGATAGAAGCACCTAGGTCCATTTAAACCAATTAAGTTCAGAAATTTATTGAAGGAAATCTTTTATCATATTTGAATTTTATTTGAAAATGGCTTTTCCCTCTTGCTTCAGAATATTGATTTAATTGGAACAGGATGCCTGTAAATCAGATTATTTGCTAATATCTCGGTCATATATTTCAGATTTCTAATTAGCAGACTCACTTCCACGTGGTTTACAGTTTTGTATTTTAGGAGAACACAGTGTGCATTTAGTGTATCATAGAGTGGAATAGTTAACAGTCTATCCTGAAATTTTTGAGAGTTGGGAAAATTCATTTTTATATCTTTGGGGTTCCTTCACAAAATGCTCACCAAACCTACTGAGCCTTTAATAAAAGTGAAGACTGAAGTGAGTATAGTGATGTAGTTACCCTGGTCTTTAAATGGCGAAGCTTCTCTTTTATGGTATCTTGTTCTGAACCCTCAGGCTCATTAGGGGTCAGAGTGACTGAAGCTCCCTCATCGGATTGTCACTGGACTAAGTGCTCTTGTCTCTAAAGTTAATAGATCTTTCCCCTCAGGTTTTTAAACATAATATTCAGCCAGTAGTTGATCATTCTTTGCTTAATGCAAGCCTTCCGATCAGTGTTAAATTTTTTTACCTTTGGCATCAGCACGTTCCCCGAGCAAGCTCTCTCTGATCTCCCGGCTCTACACGGTGGACGGCCCATTAGGAGTCTGCTCTTGTTGACCTTCAACTTTTTGTGGAAGTGGAAAAAAGAAAGATCATAATAATTTACAGATGATTATTTTATTTGACTCTTACCCCCTCTGAGAACTGTGCCCTTAAATCCTTCCAGCTTTCTAATAACTCACAACTTACATTCTTTTCCTATAAAAACAAAGTGTTCATCAATCTGAAGATGGTTCTTCTTGTCAGTTAAGGTCATGGTTTCCTACCCAAGTTTATTTCTTCAAACTTGAACGTGATATAAAAATAAGTTAGATTGTGCAGTAAAAATGACAAATGTGTTCCAGAGCGCAGTTGACTGCACTGCCTGAAAGGATTACTGTCGTTTTAGTCCCGTGGAGGTGCTCACCAAAACCCTTGCTGCTGCTGCGTAAAGTGGACCTTGCTTGCTCTCGAGACGTCCCCTGTCGTACCCCTGGCACACCCCGCGCTAGTTAGCCTCGCCCGGTACTCCTGCAAGGCCGCCTTCGTTCTCTAGGCCGCGCTGAGTGGCCACAGACTTGCTGCCCCTGCTCCAGCGTCCGCTGCTCTGGT